CCACCATTTGTTCTATCTGTCCTACCTACAACTGAAGATTAGTACAAATGTTGGTGATCGCCACTGATATTTGCGTTACTGTATATTAAGTTTATTGTTGTTTCATTTTATTGTATTTTCTACCTTCTTTTTAGTCTTATCAATAAACTTTAGGTGAATGTGTTTCTATGTAGTGTTTTCTAGCCTAAAGGCCATAAGAAAGGTTTGTTGTTGTCAAATCAAATTGACAAAAAATGCTGTGGCCATGTTCCCATTGTCTTCACAGCATTATCCAGTCATCACTGAAGTGGTATCCTTTAGTGTCCTCATCACTATTACTCTGGCACAATGATGGTTAGTGACTCTAGAAGATGTCCTTAGTGGGAAAATGATCTATGTGTCAAGACAAACTGGATGCTTTTGAATCAAACTGATGATTTTGAATTGGATCTTGATGATTTGTACACCCCTTTAAGGAAAGGCTTGAAATATTTTTTTTCCAGTTAGTAGTCTGACTGACACAAAAGCACTGCATTTTGGCAAACAGTATAAAACACCCCCTGATGGAGCAGCAACTTATAGAACTGTCTTTACTTGCTCTCTTTTGCTGCCTGTGTCTTTTGTGATGCTTTCGTGTGCCATGATCCAATGGGCAACTAGATGCACTTAATTTAATAATTCCTATAGAAACTCTGGAATTATAATAGCTTAGTCACATGGGACATCGTTTAGGAATCTATAAAGGAAACCCCCCATCATTTTCAATCCAACTGAAATTTGCAATTATTATTTAGGGAAAGCAAAGATGCATAAAGTAGATGCATAAAGTAACAAAAGCTGCTAGTGTAGATTTTCTGTTTGTATTATCCTGGCATTTTGAAACTAAAATAATTAACCAAAATAGTTTCTATAAAAATACAAATGGAATAATGTAAAATGAGTGTACTTGGGAAACAGAGCTATGAAGTAAGTAGTTCTTAGTTTGAAGCTTCTTCGCCAACAAAATACTACTGGGCATTCTTTAGCAAGGCAGCCTACCGTTTCATTATGCTGCACTGCCTTATTTTACAGGGTTCACATACTGTGTTTTAAATAACTTCAAAGCACATGACTTTTTGGGAAACGACAGCAATACTAATTCTCACACTCATCTAAATCTCACTAATTAAATTCCAATTCTTTAGTAATTGGGGGTTGTCCCACTGAAGTAAATATGGTTACTTCTGAGTATGGCATTGCAGTGTACATCATCTTTATTTTAATGGAATAGGGTTGGAAATGAAACTGACAGAAAACTGACAGAAAATTTTTGTTTGACATGAGTAATGTATTAATGAAAATATATGTCTATGCATGCATAAACATAAATGTTGAAAGTTCCTAATCCAGTACAATATTTGGCATTAATTTAAAATAAAAAAAAAATGATGTCAATACTTTTTAACAGAAATTATTCCAAATCAACAGAAGAGGAGAGAAATCAAAGTCAGTATGACCTTGCAAACAGACTATCACACCTTTTCAAAATATTTGATTTCATATTCCAGGATGATGCCATTGGGTCGATCTGGTTCCTGCCAGGAGAGTGAGATGCTATTTTTGGCGACATTCCCTTTTTTCACATTCGTGATTGGAGATGGTGCTGTGATATGAAACAGGAGAAGAAATCAAAAAGAAAATCAAAACAATTGTTTGATTAAATGGGGAAAAAAACCAATTACTTTGCAAAGTTTTAAGAGTTTGTAAACATAGAGCACCTTTCCATTATAGGCCGTTTCTCATTTCGGAGCAAAAATTACTGAGAAGAGTAGGATAGCTGTCTTGTAATTTGGAGGAGACTTAATATTTCCCGCTCTTAACTACAGTGCAGCTGGTTTCCTAATAACAACAGCTTTTGTGGATCAGACCAAATCTAGGCCAAGCCTCTGTCACTTCCCACCCAGGCCAATTTAAGTCCCAGTGATTTTAATAACCAAATCTCACTCTAAACTAAGGGGAATGGCTTTCAAAGATTGCAATAATTGAAGGAAGGAATCTTGCTATTTTGGGAAGCAGCTATAAACTTTTAAAGCAAGAACCACAGGATTTCTTTATACTTTTTAGTGGTGGTGAGTTTGGAGGAGATGAAGCAATCAGGCAGTGTCATCATGAGAAGATCTGAAACTTCCTGCCCCTTTTTCATGGCATCTGAGTTCTTTAAAATACATGTTCTATGTGATTATATTTATACCATATACATGCCACCTTTAAAAATTAAAAAATACCATTAACAATGGGCAATCTATGGCAAATTTCAATAATATGATTCTGAAACCCTATAAAAATAGGACTGGAGGCCAAATGAGACTCATTGATTGCCCATCCTTACATTAGGAGAGGAAGGTGATTTAGCTTCCAACATTTAGGAGGCTCTTTTTATGCTTGGAAATGCACCCCTACCTAAATGGTAGCAGTTTTACCTGAGCAGTATTATGGGCATTCCTTTCTGCTTCCACATTGTTCTAATGGGAATTGGAAAGGTCTCTTTCCATTGACAAGAGGAAGTGCAAGAACATGCAGAGCTCTATTAAGCCTAGAGTTAGGATTCAGACTTGGGATAAACTGAGTTCATTCAGACCTACAAAATAGCATGTTTTCTCTTAATGTGAAAGTTCTTGCATATGTGTCATGTTTGCATGCTTCCACTTATCACCCCATTTCTCATCTTTCAAATCTTGGGGGAGAGTGAAAATTCAGTGCAGTGTAGTGATTTGAGACATCTGAATTAAGGAAACTCTACCATATTCAAACTCTAATGAACAAACCAGTATCTGTAATAGCAATTTTAGAAACGGAACATGTCTTGTCAAGAAAGATCATTTGTGTAAGTGGGATTTCTCATTATATCTAAATCTGATGCTCCTAGCTGTACCAGACCTTTTTGCCATAAATTTTAATAACTGATTCTTAACAGGTATGAAAAGATATAAGGTATTTATTCTAGTGGAAGAAAAGATGGCAAGTCTTGTTGTTTGATAGTTTTTGACTTCATAGTTTTTATAGACTTAATTTTAGTTGAATTTTCTACTTTTGATTTTATTACTAATTCATATTTTGTAGAAGTGATACAGTTTTAAAAAGATTAAGATATGGCATTTGACAGCCAAAGCAAAGGGGAAAAAAGAAAAACTTTTGGATGTGCCACTGGATCAACAAATTAATATCACTATTATAGATTTAATCATCTATAGATTTTAGCCATACTTTATTCACTAAAATTCTACTTCTATGATTTTTAAAAGCCTTTTTTGCAAGCTCCTTAACAATTGTAGGGTGCTCTTTTCACAGATCTAAATTTTTAATGACATAAATTGCTAACATGTTCAGTGGAGGTAATGAAGGATCTGGGATTCAATTGGGGGAGAGAATGGAACAAAGTAAGAGGAATGGGTAACTATACACCTAGAGTACTTCAGAAAGGCAGTAACTGTATCCTTCTGCAATCTTTCTAAAAAGAAGTGTTAAACTATAACTGCAAGATAAGGACCAATTAAGTATGTTCAATTGATCTTTGTGGTTTTGGCATGTAATCATAGCTACTTTGCATCTTCTATACATTTAAACTACAAAACTCTGAATAAAGTCTGCACCTTTTAGCTTTCCTTGTCAAACAAAATGTAATACAATCTCTGCAGTCAAACAAAGTCTGCAATCATTCCATTTAAAAGCATGAAATGGAAGCCATGCAACCTGATCACAGGAAAAAAGGACTGCTTGTAAAAGCTATATTTTAAAGGTCATTGGTTCTACAGGGAAAATATCCCATGAATTAAAGGAACTACAGAAGCCAAATTAGTGAACAGTGTTTCTTTAATTATGTACTTGATATATTCCCTTCTCTTCAACAGGTTTCTAGAACAATATGCAAAATATTAACACTTTCAATTAACATATTAAAATCAGCATAATAAAACAAGAATATTAAAACAACACAATAGAAAGGAATAGCATCATTAATGAATTAAAAACAAATAACTATCATATAAAAATTGTATACAGAATTTAAATGAATTGAAAAAAAAAGGTAAACACCTTCACCTGTTATTGAAACAATACAAAATGCTAGATGTATCTCATTAATGGGGATCACAATGTGGGATGTTATCACTAAGTAAACCTTTGCTTCTGGTGTCAACTATAGTTCCTCAAATTATGGCAGGAGCAGTCTCTGTTGAAAATCTTAATGTATAGGCAGCCATTTAGAAAACTCAGCAGTCCTTTGAATATCCCAGTCTCTATTTAAAGGTTAAAGTATATGCTAAATTGATTCTGGAAATGAACTAGGAGTCAACGTAGTCAGTAAAATAAAAACATAATATTAGTGCTTGAGCCCAGTAAGAAGCCTCACCATTGCACTTTGGATTAGTTGCAGTTTCTAGTTTAGCACAGCATCACAACCCAACATATACTTTTGACAAAGTCTCTTATAGCATCTTTATTAACTAAATGGTCAAATATGGGTTTGACAACTCAAATATTAAGTGGATCCACAGTTGGCTCAAAGATCATACTCAAAGGGTAGTTATAAACAGCATCAAAACTACCTGGAGAGATATCTCAAGTGGGGTGCCAAAAGGTCCAGCGCTGTTCCATAAATTATGTGGATAAGACGTTGGAATGCTTACCAAATTTGCAGACAATACAAAGCTAGGAGGGGTGGCTAATACTTGGAAAGATAGGGAAAACATTCAAACAGGGTAGAACAGTGTGCAGAAACAAACAGAATGAAATTTAACATGGAGAAATGTGAAGTCATGCATCTAGGTAAGAAAAACATAAGAAAATGACAGGATGGGGAAAATCTGGCTCAAGAACAGCACATGTGGGAAGGACTTGGGTATACTAGTGAATCTCAAGCTCAACATGTCCCAACAATGTAATTAGCAAAGAAGGCCAATGACATCTTGAGGAGCATCAAGAACAGCACAGAGTCCAGATCGTGGAAAGTACTCATACTGCTCTACTCTGTCTTGCTCAGGCCTCACTTGGAGTATTGCATTCAATTCTGCACACCCCAGTTCAAAAAAGATATTGTTAGCAGAGAATGACTACCAAGATCATAAAAGGACTCAAAACCAAGTCCTACAAGGAATGGTTGAAATTTTTAGCTTGCAGAAGAGAAGGATGAGCAGGGACATGATAGCTGTCTTCAAATATATGAAGGGAGGTCACACTGTAGAGGGCTCAGACTTATTCTCACTTGCTCTAGAGAGTAAGACTACAACTAATGGCATGAAACTTCAAGGATGTAGATATAGATGAGACATTAGAAAGAACTTCTTGACAGTAAGAGTTATCAATCAGTGAAATAGGTTACCACATGGAGTGGTTTCTTCCCCTTAAGTGGAGGTTTTCAAACAGAGGCTCGGATACTCATCAACTGGGGATGGTGTAGTGAATCCTGCAGTGTGCATGGGGAGGGGGGGGCGGTTGGACTTGATGACATGTGAGATCACTTCCAATTTTATGATTCTATGATATCGAGTCTAATCTACACTAGATGTTAGTAGGGACTGCTCAGTAAGGTTACTCCTTTCTAGTGACTATGGCAGGTACATCAGCCAAAGAAAGTGAAAAGCATTTTATCACAATCACAGAAATGGATCAATGGGTAAGGATAATAAGAAACTGGTTCAGTTCTAATGCCTAGTTCCCCAAAGTAATATAAACTGGAACACAATTATAAGTCAATATCTGCATTTTTTTCAATTTTACAATGCAAGTCAAAATATGCACAAAAGTTACAGGAAGTCCATATAAATGTACATATTTGGAAAAAAGTGAAAAATGCACATAGTAGGAGAAATGAGTATAAAAATGCATATAAATTTTGGGTGGGCTTTTTAACATAGTGTGAGACTAGGCCAAAGCTGCCATAACCTAAAGATGAAGCAGGCATGTAAGCAGAGAGGACAAAAGCCAGGAATCTTTTCTATTAGATCCCTTCGGGGAGGCAGATAAGAAGGAAGCAAGTTGTTAAGGAAACAAAGGACCTGAACCAGACAAAAGAAGTTGGGCCTGAGCACAT